CTTTTTTTCCCCTTTATCTTTCCCCCCTTTGCTCCTTCTATTTTTGTAAAAACTTTCATTGTAACTTTTTCCCCCTTATCTCTTTTTACATCTCATTCCCCCAATCGCTCCTTTTCCCCCCGCACCCACTTTCCTGTAACCAAAATTTCTGCTGAACACTCAAAACACTACATTTTTTAAACCTACCCCTTTCCCCTCTTCGCCCCCATTCCCTTGCTCTCTTTTTACCCATCTTCCCAATAGTTTTTATATCTTCCCCTAAGCCTCCTCTTTTAGTTTATAAACTTCACCTCTCTCTTCCCCGATCTTCTATTCTCCTTTTTTCCCCCCTACCTTTTCCTCAGTGTAGCTACAACTAAAAAGGGTCTGATTATCTGTGGCCCCTCGATAAACATGTAATCCCGAAGTTACTCAAAGTCTTTTTTCTATAATACTAAACCCAACAAACTACTGTCTTTCGCCCCACATATATCGTGTATACTTATTACCTTTTTTCTTAAAAATTATACCTATAATAAACCCCTTTCTATACAAAGTTCAATCAAAGGGCTCCCTTATATTTCAATGGCCCCCAAACTTACCCACCCACCCCCTTTTAAAAGTTTCTCCTCTTTGCATTCGGTCCCCTACCAAATACTCTCTCATTGGTTCAAAGGCCCCTATACATTCACTTAAAATCCCCCAAAATCTCTCTCCCCCTTGCATTCCTCTTTCTCCGGGTGCAACACGCTTATTATGCCCCTTTTTCGCATCCAACCTTTTTTTAATCCACATAATTCTCGAATTTAAAAATTCATATTCTCTTTTCCCCTTCCATAACTGATCATTTAACTTACTGTCCCCCTTCCTTTGCTCTAACCCCTAAATCTCCAGATTAATCCCATTTTTTCCCCCCATGAAACTTCTACCCCCTTCCTTTTTTTTCGCTTAGAGCCGGGGAACATCCAACTTTTTTCATTCTAACATCAGCAATCATCTGTTTCTTGTATCCGCCTACACCCAAGCACATTTAAAAAACCCAGTTTTATAAATTTTTTCTTTTTCTCTTTTTTAGTAAATGTATACGGAGAAGGGGTTATAGCCCATTGCCCCCGGCTTTTTAGTGCCTCTACGACACCATGGCTTCGGAGGAAAGATTCTTTTCCACTTCCCCATGGACAATAGAAGAAAAAAAAAAAACAAGACTATTTAAAATAAGGAGAAAAACCAGTGTATGTATTATATTATGCATGTGGGGTTTCTGTGAAGTGTGACCAAAGTGTAAGTAGGAGTAGCAGATACCGTTATTAGCGGTTTATGAGCAGAAAAAGAAAACCACAATCCCCAAAACAATTACAGGTTTTTTGTTTCACAGTCATCTGGGCAGGGCGGTAGTCTTCCCTGGGTTGGGTTTCTGAAACCCAAACCCATACCCATGGGTTATGATGAAAAATTTTGGGGGTGTTGGTTGGAGTGTGAGGTTTGGGAGGGTGGGGGAAAGGGAAAAAGAGAGAGAAGGTTACTTCGTGGGGGGTGACCTGAGATGAAATTTAAAAGAGAAAAATGTCTAAATTTTGTTGTATTTTTTAAAGGAAAAATTTTGGATTGTTGTGGGTATTAACGAAAAAAATGTGGAACTATTTGGGTTTTTTCCTGGGTTAAGGCGAAAAAGTTTTTCCCCCTGTTGTATATGATATAAAGTGTAATACTGAGATGGAGATGACGAAAAAGATCCAGAAAAAAAATATGCATAGAAATTTCTTCAGGAGGAAAATATTTATTTTGTCAATGAATTGTACCTTTTTTCAATGAATTTTTTTGTTGGATGTTTAAAAGAAATGCATTGGTTGTATAATAAAAAGTGTTATCCCGCATTTTTTAAATTATTGTCTGCTCGACAAGATTCAGCCTGTTGTGTGAGTACACATGACTCACTGCCCCCGGTAAACACGGTGGGGTGACTCCACTTTTTTTAGACCTGTAGTAAGAGAAAGTACCCTGTCCCATAGGAGAGTTTCATTTGAATGCTTACCCCCCAAAGGGGGAAATCCAAAAACTTTATCCAAGGAGATGGAGTCTTGGTATTATCGAGAAAAACTCGATCCAAGGAGATGGAGTAGAAATACTTGGACATGAGGGGGAGAAATGGTGGTGGGGGGAAAAACTTTGTATTTTTGTACGAGAAAAAACTTGATCCAAGGAGATGGAGTCTTTGTATTATCGAGAAAAACTTGATCCGAGGAATTGGAGCAGAAATTTTGGGATGGGGGTGGTGTGGGGGGAAAATCTTTGTATTATTGATATCGAGAAAAACTTGATCCGAGGAGATCATAAGAATTTCGAAACCCCAGAGGGGGGGAATCCAAAAACTTGATCCAAGGAGATGGAGTCTTGGTATTATCGAGAAAAACTTGATCCAAGGAGATGGAGTCTTTGATTTCGAGAAAAACTTGATCCAAGGAGTTGGTGGGGTGGTCTCGAGGGCGAGGTCAAGGTTATTAGCATATAGGTGTGAAAAGGAGTCCGCTGAGGAAAGGGAGCCACTCAGCCGCAGCCCTTTCGGGAGGAGACCGCTCAGGAAGAGATCGCTCTGTAGAAGGAGCCATCAGCCGCCTTCAGCACTACTTATATATATATATATTATATATATATATATATATATATATATATATATATATATATATATATATATATATATATATATATATATATATATATATATATATAATATGCAATAAGATCACAGTAAACAGGTGATTTCAAAATATGCAAAACAACCACTCTGAAAGAATAGAGAAATTCCAAGCGCTTTCGTGACTACTCACATTATCAAGGAACTATGAAAGTAAAGCATCCAAGGAAGCTATATAAGGGGTCCGGCCAGCACCTCACTATCTTTACCTTACATGTATGGACTAATAAAAACACACAAACCAGGGAATCCAGTCAGACCAATTATTAGCTCCATAGGGTCAGTTTCATATAAATTATCCAAATGGCTTGTTGATATTTTGAGCCCTATTGTTGGCAAAATTTCTAACTTTAATGTTAAAAACAACGTAGACTTGGTTGATAAATTAAGCTCCTTGACTGACTTAAATGATTTTAACATGGTTAGTTTTGATGTTACTTCCTTGTTTACGAAAGTTCCTGTTGATGATTTATTAAGTTTCTTATCTGAAGAACTCGTTAACTATGATTTACCATTGCCAGTTCCTACTATCATTAAACTTATTAAACTTTGCATTGTTGATGCAAAATTTGTATTTAATGATAAGTTTTACACTCATAAGTTTGGTATGGCAATGGGAAATCCTCTTTCACCTGTTCTTAGTAACCTATACATGGATTTTTTTGAAACAAGGTTGCTTAACACAATCCTCCCTAATAGAGCTAAATGGTTCAGATATGTTGATGATATTTTGTGTCTTATGCCCAAAAATGTAGATATACACCATTTCCTTGGAAAATTAAATAGCTTAGCCCATTCTATAAACTTTACTGTTGAGTTTGAAGAAATAACTCATTGCCTTTTCTAGATGTTTTAATTATTAAGGGTAATAATGAATTCAAATTTAAAATTTACAGAAAACCTACAAATAACTGTTCCTATGTCCACTATTATTCCTCGCATCAAGATAGAGTCAAACTGTCTGTTTTTCTCATCATTGTTTTTGAGAGCTTTACGAATTTGTAGTCCTGAGTTCATAGATGAGGAAATATCCAAAATTTATGAAATAGGTAATGATTTAAAATACCCAAGAAATGTAATTGATAAATCTTTTAAAGTTGCCAGAAACACTTTTTATAATCCAAAAAGGGACAACCAGCCTTATTCAACTAAAAATATGTTGGTTCTCCCTTACCATGAAAACTTGGTTGATATGCCTTCTCTTCTTAAGACTTTTAATATTAAAGTTGTATTCAAAAATCTTGATACAGTGAAAAAACTTTTGATAAAGAATTCCCCCCAAAATGCTGATGGATGTGTCTATAAGATTCCTTGTAAAATTTGCGATAAAGTTTATTACGGTCAAACTGGTAAAAATCTCGAAGATTAAAACAACATAAATATAGCATTAGAACTGGACAAGATTCCAATGCTCTATTTATTCATGTAAGAGATTTTAACCATCCAATTGATGTTCAAAAAGTTGAGAAAGTAGTATCAAGCAAGTCCATGGTCGACAGGAATATAATTGAATCTTGTTTCATAAAAAGCAGTTTTGACAATAATATGAATATTTCCTTTGGTTTATATAAATTAGATCCATTTATAATTAATAGAATTTGGGAAGAATTTAATAATACACTGGACAAATAATAATTTTTAAATTTTCTTGGGTAGAATAGCTTGGGGGTGAGTTGTGCAAGGGACCTATCCAAGTTGGGTCGCCGCGCGTCACGTGTTTAACCGTTGTGGGATCTGATAGTGAGGTGCTGGCCGGACCCCTTATATAGCTTCCTTGGATGCTTTACTTTCATAGTTCCTTGATAATGTGAGTAGTCACGAAAGCGCTTGGAATTTCTCTATTCTTTCAGAGTGGTTGTTTTTGCATATATATATATATATATATATATATATATATATATATATATATATATATATATATATATATAATATATATATATATATATATATATATATATATATATATATACATGATTAATTTTTCTAGTCACTCATTAAATTGGAACAAACTTGAATTAACTCTGGCGGTGAGGAGAAAATTAACGTCGAACTTACACTATTTTGTTTTACGAAACTCTGTACATCTTTTATCTGAAGCTGATACCTTACCAGCTTCAAAGCAAACAGATGTTGACTGTTATCTAAGACACACACATATGGTAAGGTTCTCTACACTTACGATGATTATCATAATTTTTTTCTATAGATTTCGTAGTTGTCAATGAGCCCAGAGTTTACCTTTCATGATTATACTCCAAAATGTCAGGTTATATTGAAGCTAATATAATCGTTGCTTTTCATTATACTTATAGTTTTGTCCTCTCTGCAGACATCAATGAGCACTGTGTTTACGTTGTACTACCTGGCTCGTCACCCTGACAAGCAGGCGAGGCTGCAGGAGGAGCTGGACCAGGTGTTGGGTGATGGCAGTCAACCTCTCACTAGCCATCAGATGGCCAGGCTCACCTACCTAAAAGCCTGTGTGAAGGAAACTCTCAGGTGAGGAGGACCCTTCTGCTCAGAGAAGTTTCATGGATGAAGAGAAAGGCGAATAGTATTGTTTTAGGAAATATCTTATGTTTGTATTTAGAGTCTTTGATCCCCTCAAGGGAAGTTCCTTGATGCTGGTAAAGAGCTCTTGATTTAAGGAACTGGACCTTCCCTTCCCTTCCCTTCCTTGGAACGAACGTGATTTTTTGCTATTCCCCAGGCTCTATGATTTCTACTGGTTTAGCGCCGACCCCATGAATGCAATAATAACAACAACAATGGTAACAATAATGCAGTCTTAGATGAATGAAAGATAATAATAATAATAATAATAATAATAATAATAATAATAATCTTAGATGAATGAAAGATATCTTTTCACATGCCAGTGCCCCTAAAATATTAATACACAGGTAAGCAGGTAGTTTCCTCGACTGCTCGTTAAATAATGATAATAATCAATTCTATAATTAAACTATGGCCATGCAAAATGCTGTGAATAAAAATACTGAATTTACTTCATAATTTCGTCATGAAAGCTTTTCATTTGTTGACACCTTCAGGATGCAACCGATAGCATCCGTTGTGGCAAGGCAGCCTGAGAAGGACATCACACTTCAGGGCTACAATGTCAAAGCTGGAGTGAGTAACGTCTATTGTTTTTTGACCAGGGGTGTTTGTGGTATCTTATTCCCCAGGAGAAATACAGTGGACCCCCGGTTAACGATATTTTTTTCACTCCAGAAGTATGTTCAGGTGCCAGTAGTGACCGAATTTGTTCCCATAAGGAATATTGTGAAGTAGATTAGTCCATTTCAGACCCCCAAACATACACGTACAAATGCACTTACATAAATACACTTACATAATCGGTCGCATTCGGAGGTGATCGTTATGCGGGGGTCCATTGTATTAAAATTGAATCATATGTTGACTGACTTAGGCTTTAGGTCATATGACCGAAGCCTGTCACTGACTTTCGGATCCAACCAGTTAAAGTTTGTAAATTGTATGATATTCCCACTAAACATAAAAAAAAAATTGACGCACCAGAGAAGTATGTCAATTGGTAAACAAATGTTTAGCATTTTACAATTCAGTCTCTCAGAGGCTAATCTATCATCTCTTCCTCATAATGATGAGTAACAGATGAAAAATTATGGTTAATCTTACAGCCATGCACAGGTTTATTTCAGAAGCTCGGCCAGCCAGTGATTTTGTTTGGCTGTTGTGCCTCAAGAAGCACCATACAATAAACGCTTGTTGACTGTTCTACATTAGGAAACTTCGTAGCAAGTTTGGTGCTTATTAGGAAGTATTATGTACCCTTTATTAATGGAATTCGTTGTTACAGTATCATTGCATATTGATCACTTGTTTATTACTAGTACAGTTTATATGAGAATGGTTGCACATACTCGTCTTTAAAATTATATTTGTCTCTGTCAGACATACGTGTACGTCAGTGTTAAGGAGGCAGGCATGCTGGAGGAATACTTTCCCCGGGCGACGGAATTCCTGCCGGAGCGATGGCTGAGAGACAACCCAGACCGTCTCCAGAACCAATTTGCTACCATCCCCTTCTCTTTTGGCACTCGCATGTGTGTGGGCAGGAGGCTGGCCGAGCAGGAGATTTACGTCCTCCTCGCGAGGGTAAGTTGAATGGAATACTTTTTTAAGGGCTCTAAATTTATTAATTATTAGTTACCTCATTCATTTTTCTTAAAGGTCAAGGTCTGAATGACACTGAACTCACCCAGACACTTCACCAGGTTAGACATCTTAATTGATAGTTGATTCATTATTTGTTAATGGAATATCGGGATTTTTCTACTTTTGAGGGACGATTACTTACATGACAGAGTGCATATTAAGCTATTCAAAAAGTACATATTAACAGTATATATATATATATATATATGTGCTTGTGTTTGTGTGTGTGTGTGTGTGTGTGTGTGTGTGTGGTGTGTGTGTGTGTGTGTGTGTGTGTGTGTGTGTGTGTGTAAAACTTGCGATCTTGGCTTAAATAGCAACTCTTATCTTGCCATATAGGACAAATGAAAATTTGTGTATGCAGCATTTTCGCAAAAATCATTATGAACCTAACGAAAAAAATATATTTCATTGTTTGATTAATATTAAATTATTGTAAAGGTATTTAAAAATTTATTTAATTGGAATTTGGCTAAAATGAATTGGGCTTGTTATAATAAGGTTAGGTAAGTTTTCTAAGATTCTTTTGGTGCAAAATTATAAATTTTTTCATTAACATTAATGAAAAAAAATGTATCTTTAAACGTAATATATATATATTAATATATATATATATATATATATATATATATATATATATATTATATATATATATATATATATATATATATATATCACCTTTCAGCTGTTCTTAAAGTATAATTTAGAGTACAAGCACGAGGAGTGGGACCCATTATTCAGAATTATCTACAAACCTGACAAGCCACAGAACTTCACCATGACGGAACGCTGGTAATCAGATGTCGTCTCTTCGCTTCCTGTTTACATGATGAAGATACTATATTCTCCTGGAATAAAGTCTTGGGACGGGTCTTTTCCAGATGCTGAATCATCTTCCTGCTTAGAAAATGAGTATTTTTGTTACAATGGGTTGAGAACGATTTCTTCTAAAAATATACATTACATCGCATTTCATAGAGTCTTCTCATTTTAATTATTTCTGCATCATGCCCATGCTGGGTTCTTAAAGTGACGGTGGAGTTAACAGTGGTTTGTTCCAAGAGGTAGGGAGCTGGTTGGTAAGACACATAGGCAACACACTAGGCTTCTTCGGTCGAGTACAGAAAGTAGGCAGAAGCAGTAGAGATGTGAAGCCTACTGTGTAGGCGAAACGTTTCGAAACGTTTCGGAACAAAGTTGCCTAACTGTTGCCTATGTGTCTTACCTACCAACCTGTTGGTATTGTATACCATATTGATATTCACTCAGATACGGAGCTCTTCTCCGTGATGGGTGCCACTCTCCTCACAGGAAATTTGCAGTACTAAGAAACCAGCATCTCTCTCGGCACAAATGGTGGGGATATTTTCCTTCATTTCTAAATTTGCTGACTCTGCTGATGGCTCGGAACGAGCGTGGATATAAATATTGACTGTAAATAATTTTACTTACTTTGTGATTGCTTTTCTTGTTATCTGAGAGTGAGTAGTTCGCAAAAGTAGCAAGTTGATAACGAACTTGTATATTGTACCCATATATATCTTACTTTTTTTTTTTTTTGCTCCAAATTGAATTATGTATTATCTAACTTGGTTACTTATTATTGTAATTTTTTGAGAAATCATAAACATGTATATGCATTTGTTAAATATAATAAATTATTAAAAAATTTTCATGTGCCCTTTTAGAAATACATTGAGAGAACGAGGATGGAGAAGGAAAATCATGCAGCTCTTGATTTCCCAGACCGTTAAAATCTCCCTATATGTGGGGGGAAAGGAGGGGGAGAGGGGGACGAGCAGACCCACTTATACTCATGAATGGTGCCACATTTCTTTATACACCCTTAATTTGTAGTAATGAAGCCTCCATAGGCTAATGTATTATACACAACTACTTACACGTACTTAAGCTAAGTTAGAGTTAGGCATAAATTAATCGAACTGACGACGTCTCATGGACAACTAGTGATTGGAACTGGATATTTTCCCCCGAGACAACCATATATTGAGTCAGTTCCTCTATATAGGATATTAAGCAGAAATATTCCAACAATTCTAGCAGGAGATTTTAATGTTCATCACCCTGCCCTCTTTCACTGTGGAGTTGGTAATCCACTGGGTGACTTAAAAGGAAAACAACTATTTAATATCATGACAGCCAGAAACTTGTCATTTCAAGGCCCATTCTTTAAATCGTATATTGGTCCTCATCCAGGGACACCAGATATAGTCCTGACAAACAGAGACTGGGACCTCTTTCACTGTCGAATCTCTCCTGGTGGAAACGTAGGATCTGACCATATCCCTGTTATACTACAACTACAAACTTCTCCATTTAGAATACCTGTACCTCCTAAACCCAACCTCAACACCCTAGGATTTGACCCCTTCAGGGCATTTCTGGGTGAAGATGAAATTGTCATTGGAAAATCTACCTTCCACTGCAATTGACGACGCGATCAGGTCCCTTCACAGTCGAATAATTGATGCTACTAATGTAACTCCCCTCAAGGAAGGTTCCTTGATGTTAGTGAGGGGCTCTTGATTTTATGGAATTGGATCTGTGCTCCAGTTCCCCGAATTAAACATGAATGCCTTCCACATCCCCCCCCCCTAGGCGCTGTATAATCCTCCGGGTTTAGCGCTTCCCCCTTGATTATAATAATAATAATAATACTAATGCAACTTGCCAATTAGCTTCCACCAAGATCTACCTATAATATAAACCTACGAGGGAAATTAGAGACGGTATGAGAAATTATCAAACAGAATGTCGAAGGCATCTTCAAACGCGGCAACCACCAGTAGGTACATTGTATAGATTGAGGCAAGAATTAATTAACATGATTATTCACCATAAACGTGACTTATGGAAATTGCTAGTTCTAAAATCTAATCAGTATAAACGAGAGCCAGAAAAATTTTGGAGTAAGATTCGGCAACTTTTAAGTGCAAAACACAAGGCTCCTAACTACCTAATTCATACCTTCACTGATGATGATGATGAAGAGGTTGAGATTAAACTTGATGATCCACAGGACCAGGCTAATTTGATGGGTGATGTATGGGAGAAAATTCTCTCCCACAATAACAGTCGTCGATTTAATAATAATCACTATCAGTTGGTAAATGAATGGAGAGATGAGAACTTAGATGATCTACAACCACTACCTTCCATCGATACATCAACTCTTGAAGACGCCCACCCGCTTACTAGACCTATTACATTACTCGAGATGAGTCAAGTTATTGGAAGAATGCGAAATAGAGCCCCTGGTCTCTCTGGAATAACAATGAAACAACTAAAGTTCCTACCCAGAAATTGTAAACAGTCTTTGGTTAATATCTTTAATGCCATCTTGGCCTCCGGACATTTCCCAGTGGTTTTTAAGACTGCTAGGATGATCTTTCTTGCTAAACCCAATAAAAACATCCATCAACCAGAAAACTATAGAACAATATCCTTACTTGAAGTCACTGGGAAAGTTGTTGAAAAGATAATTTCCAACAGACTGAACTACTATATGGAGTTTAATCACCTTTTTACTGAAAAACAGTTTGGCTTTAGGACACATAGAGGTACACATCATGCAATAAATATTATTTTTGATACAGTAGCGAGTCTGAAACATCAGGGCAATCTTACCCTAATTGCCACCAGAGATGTTCATAAAGCTTTTGATAGCTTATGGCATGATGGTTTTATATACAAACTTATTGACCTACCAGACCATAACTGGACATTTCTCAGATTTATATGTAACTTCTTAACTCAAAGAAAAATCATTCCTACCTTTCATGGCAAGTCAACAGAGCCTTTTATACCGACAGCTGGTGTCCCACAAGGTTCTTGTCTTAGTCCAATTCTATTCAACATTTATGTGAATGATCTTCCTCAACCAGAGTTTAATGATACAATTATAACGCAATTTGCAGATGATGTTATCCATGTCGTCTCGTCAACTCCTGTAACAGGAAAATACAAATATGAAAGAGTCATAGATAAAATGAATATTGAACTTCGTCGACCATCCAATTTGGAAAAGAAAAGGAGATTTACGACCAACCCTGACAAAGTCCTGGTTAGCACGATAGGATGTTTTGCATCAACCATCGAAGATAAAGGGGGTATCTCCATCAGAGGTACACCTGTAGCCATTAGAAATCCTAACAAGATCTTGGGATATGAAATAGACAGGCTGCTCCACTCAACATCTCACGTCAATAAAAAGATCAACATAGCCAAAGCCGGTCTTAGCAGTCTCTTTAGATTTAATCAAGCCCTTTCACATGTCAAAAAACATCTGTATAAAATGATGATAAGACCAATACTCGAATACCCATGTGTCCCAATGTCGTTAACAACAAAGACCAACATGCTAAAGTTGCAACGGGTCCAGAATAGAGCTCTCCGCTTTATTACGGGCACCAGGAGGAGAGACAGAGTCAAAATGGCAGATTTACACGTACAACAGGATATTACTGCCTTAAATGTACGCCTTGATACGCTGAAGAAGAGACAACTCTATGCAATGCAAGAACTCTACATACCAGATAGAGAACATCCTCTCCAAGTTGAAAATACCACGGACTATATCATTAATACTCCTCCTCACAGGACCCAAAATATGACTCTCCCACAGAGGCTGCGTCGCTTCATCCATAAAGACGATTACCATCGACCAATGATCTTGAGCAACCTCCCTGCAGATGAAGATGATTGGGTAACACCACAACCCTTCTATGTCTACTAAGAAAATTATGGCCCCTAATTAGGGTGACATCTTGTATAACACTTCTACTTCTACATCTACTGTTATAAATATGATACATTTACTGTGGCGGGACACCACCTTGAAAGAAGCTAACGTCAAGTAATTCTTTACGAACTGTCCAGATTGCCGCCTTGTCGTGTAGTTTAAATATTCGTTATGCAATCGTAAAAAAAAAGCAAGCAATTGCAACTGGTATATATACTACCAATTCAGAGTCATGTACCTATAGATCTGTTATATCTATGTGACTCTGATGGGTTAGTATTATACCCCTTCAAGAATATTCTATTATTTCACATATACTTTTCAAATTGCACCAAAGTGGTTGGGCCACTTACCTTTTATATCCTACCTCATTCCCCCCTCCCACCCTTTTCTAATATTTTTATCCTTACCCATCTTACCAAAGACTCTGGTCATAAGAATCGAATAAATTAATCTAAGTTAGTATCTACATCACCTCTCACAACCTGTACAGTTGTGAGCAGTGGGCACTTGTTCCAGCTGAGTGCCCGCTGGCGAGGAGAGGAACCATCTCCTACCTACCCGGCAGTCACAAAAATTCCTGTGCACGAGTAAGCCGGTCATTAACAACTTCCCGATTGTGCAGATCAATTAACAGCCTAGTTTAGGATGACTTATCCTGCAATGAAGTACTCTAACATTCGATAACCAATACAACACAAATCAGATAACATTTGGACCAATAACCGTTATCTTGCTGCTATACCAAGTGGTTGCGCGTGACCCAAATATAAGTATCTTAGGTGTCCCAGTGGATGTACAGCTGCTCCCACACTCCACCAGTAAGTACCTAGAGTATCACTGAATGCGCATTCCTTATACTTTTGGGGCTGAATGTGGAGGGTCTAGCTGCATCCCTCCAGCCCGCCAGAGATCAACCTGCAATCAGCCCAACACGATTACCCATGTGTAAACTAGAGGTAAGAATTCAGGTAGGCAAAAATGGGATGTCAGGTTTCTGGGTCGAATTCCATAACTGACTTGACACGGATCACTAACCTAATCAGTCATAGCAGACAGACACCCCTCTGTTCTATACCACCACAGTTGTGAACGGAGTTACTAAATTTGCTGCTGTTTCAGTCAAAAAAAAAAAATAAAGATTTTCGCTACGGAAAGTACCCAGAACAAGCCTTCATTTGTATACACACACACACACACACACACACACACACACACCGAAAGGTGCAGGGAGGCCAAAACCAAGTGTGCTAGGGAATGAAAGAAGTATAGAAGGCAAAGGACCCAAGAGAATAAGGAAACCAGTCGTAGAGCCAGAAATGAATATGCACAGGTAAGACAGGGGGCCCAAAGGCAATATGAGAAAGCCAAATCTGACCCAAAACTGTTGTACAGCCACATCAGGAGGAATAAAAGTCAAGAACCAGGTAATCGATGGTTTGAAAAACCGAAAAGTTGTAGAATTGAGACACTTATGCAACATATGGGAATCTTTATTCAGGAAACGTTTCGCCACACAGTGGCTTCATCAGTCCAATACAAAGTAGAAAGCCGTAAGGAGAGGAGGAGTTTGAGGTAATCAGTCCCTCAGCCTGGAGTCGATGTGTTCAGTCCATCAATCTTGTAGAATGTACAGCATAGGGCCGTAGACGTGGCTTATATACTGTAGTGAGGTGAGGCGAAGCAGGAGGAGGTGGGGTCATAGTGGTATCATCCACTAGTTCGAAGTAGGCCTTCGTTCAAAGGTTGGACAAGTGTTGAAGAATTCTTTGTAACAAGATCCCATGATGCTGCAGTGTCTGACAGCATCATGGGATCTCGTTACAAAGAAGGCACTACAGTGGATCAGGGAATACTTGTCAGGAAGACAGCAGCGAGTCATGGTACGAGGCGAGGTGTCAGAATGGGCGCCTGTGACGCGTGGGGTGCCACAGGGGTCAATCGTAGGACCGGTGCTGTTTCTGGTATTCGTGAACGACATGACGGAAGGAATAGACTCCGAAGTGTCCCTATTTGCAGATGATCTGAAGTTAAAAATAGTTCAATCAGACGAGGACGAGGCAGATCTACAAAGGGATCTGGACAGGCTGCAGACCTAGTCCAGCAATTGGCTCCTGGAGTTCAACCCCACCAAGTGCAAAGTAATGAAGATTGGGGAAATGCAAAGAAGATCGCAGACGGAGTACAGTCTAGGGGGCCAGAGACTACAAACTTCACTCAAGGAAAAAAGATTTGGATGAGTATAACACCAGGCACATTGAACATAAGAACATAAGAAACGAGGAACACTGCAGCAGGCCTGTTGGCCCATACTAGGCAGGTCCTTTACAACCAAATAATTGCTGCAGCATATGGGCGCCAAGCAAACCTAAGAACAGCATTCCGCTATCTTAATAAGGAATCGTTCAGAACCCTGTACACTGTGTACGTTAGACCCATATTGGAGTATGCGAAACCAGTTTGGAATTACATCTACCCAAGCACGTAAAGAAACTAGAGAAAGTGCAAAGGTTTGCAACAAGACTAGTCCCAGAGCTAAGGGGCATGTCCTACTAAGAAGGGTAAGGGAAATCGACCTGACGACATGGAGGACAGGCGAGATAGGGGGGATGGGGCCATAATAACGACATACAGAATACTGAGAGGAATTGAGAAGGTGGACAGAGAATGTTCAGAGATGGGACACAGCAACAAGGGGACACGTTGGAAGTTAAAGACACAGATGAATCACAGGGATGTTGGGAAGTATTTCTTCAGTCACAGAATAGTCTACCTACCTGGAAGCGATGTAGTGGAGGCAGGAATCCATTCATAGCTTTAAGCAGAGGGTATGATAAAGCTCATGGTTCAGGGAGAGTGACCCAGGTAGCGGCCAGTGAAGAGGCTGGGCCAGAAGCTATGAATCGTCCCCTGCAGATTTAAGGGGTCGCGGGTCCTGACGTCTGCACTCATTCTGAGAAACTGATGCGGAGAAAAATACTCTGACTAAGTGGTACATGGACTTTGATATAATAAAGGTATGGTGACCGAGAAAGCAGTCAGTCAGCCCTGAGTTCACCTAAAGCAGGTATGTGAGTCGCTTTGCAGTTTTCTCATCTTCACGACACCATATTATCTCTCAGATCAAATAGCCAGAGCTTATCCAAGCTACCGTGACTGTACACACACTTCTTTAGGATGAAAACATCTCAAAGAAATGTGTGACAGCAAATGCGTACTAGTTTGGTTGCTAGTCTGGACTTCTTTCTGGGCATATATGACGAGTGACACCGGGTGAAAACTCCGGCTGCTTATACATGTCGTGAAGAGATACGTCACACAAATGTCTTAATTTTAGACACTGAAGGTATATTTTCTCATATTAAAGGGGAGGAAATTCTCTTGGCGTCGATCTTAGTCTCTTGATGATCCTCTAAGTGGAACTTTGGTCATTTGACCGAATCTTCCCCTAGATTTTCCACACCCATGTAAAAACCATCTGCTCACCACACAGTAGCGTCTTGTGTTGTTTGTAGTGATCACGTGTGTTTTTCTGGCTAACCATCGAAGGGGGTGAAAAGGCTGAATTAAAAAATGCAAAGGTGAATATCTCAAAAGTTTTTGATGATTTTGTAGCAATATTTTCACAAGATAAGAAAAGATATAATTAATTCTGATGTTGCTCTCTGAAGGGCAAAAAAAAACTTCCCAGAGTACCTGGTTACCTGGAGGTTATTCCGGGGATCAACGCCCCCGCGGCCCGGTCCACGACCAGGCCTCCCGATGGATCAGGGCCTGATCAACTAGGCTGTTACTGCTGGCCGCACGCAGTCCGACGTACGAGCCACAGCCCGGCTGATCCGGCACTGACTTTAGGTATCTGTCCAGCTCTCTCTTGAAGGCAGCCAGGGGTTTATTGGTAATTCCCCCTAATGCTTGATGGGAGGCTGTTGAACAGTTTTGGGCCCCGGACACTTACGGTGTTTTCTCTTAGTGTACCAATGGCGCCCCTACTTTTTATTGGCGGCATTTTGCATCGCCTGCCCAGTCTTTCACTTTCGTAGGGAGTGATTTCTGTGTGCAGATTTGGGACTATTCCTTCCAAGATTTTCCAAGTGTAGATTATGATATATCTCTCCCTCCTGCGTTCCAACGAGTACAAGTCAAGTGCTTCCAAGCGTTCCCAGTAGTTAAGGTGCTTGACAGAACTTATACGTGCAGTAAAGGATCTCTGTACACTCTCTAGATCTGCGATTTCACCTGCTTTGTATGGAGATGTTAATGTACAGCAGTATTCCAGCCTAGAGAGAACAAGTGATTTGAAAAGGATCATCATGGGCTTGGCATCTCTCGTTTTGAAAGTTCTCATTATCCATCTTATCATTTTCTTTGCACGTGCGATCGTGGCACTGTTGTGATCCTTGAAAGTGAGATCCTCAGACATTACTACTCCCAAGTCCCTTACATTATTTTTCCGCTCTATTGTGTGGCCGGAGTCAGTAGTATACTCTGTTCTAGTCCTAACGCAGACACTGTGCACTTCAAAATTACGTTTACTGCTGCAGTTTAGATTGTTCTTAAATTAAATCATATTGGACTATATCATTTCAGAAAATTAACTGCTTTACGAAAAAGTATTTATATTATTTAAAAATCACTGGAATATTGAAATGTATTTTGTTGTAATATGGAAGTTTCATTAGGCACTATATGCGCACTCTATGGGCGGTAGTTATCCTTTTCCCGTCCTGTGGTCGGTAGTCACTCCATACCAGTCCTGTGGGCGGTAGTCACTCCATACCAGTCCTGTGGTCGGTAGTCACTCCATACCAGTCCTGTGGGCGGTAGTCACTCCATACCAGTCCTGTGGGAGGTAGTCACTCCATACCAGTCCTGTGGGCGGTAGTCACTCCATACCAGTCCTGTGGGCGGTAGTCACTCCATACCAGTGCTGTGGACGGTAGTCACTCTATACCCGTCCTGTGGGTGGTAATGACTTGCCACTATACCCATCCTGTGAATGGCAGTCACTCATAACCATTCCGTTGGCTATAATCAAAATTTTACAGAAGCACATAATGGGTCCAGCAACTGTTCCTCAACATCCTGTGGCAATGCGAGGTACGGAAGTAACGAGTTGTTTAAAATACTAATTGAGTCAGTCATAAAATTGATTCCTGACGTCAGTCATTAGAATGAATGCTCAATAATAACCCACACGGAGACAGAAACACAGGAGACTGATTGATCTGTATATTTTCACCCCCTTCTGGGATCCTCTTCAGCAGATACACAAGTGAAAAGAGTACTTGAATTTATAGGAATGGCTGCACCTCTCACCGTGCGTGGGAAGTGGGGGGAAGGGGTGTTGAGGAAGTGTCACATGAGTGCATGGGGGGATGGGTCACAGAGATAAGGAGGAAGAAGACAAGACCTATGGGGAAGCTAAAAATCTGGGTAGGAAGTTCCTTTGTACTACGTGACTCCTGTTCTTGTACTGGCGTTCTGTGTTAGGATGGGCGCTGGTATGTACTTCTTGAGGGCGAATTTTGAAATGTCAGAGTCTCTCTATGATTTTCCGTTAGTAGCTACAGTGTGATTTGTGTTTGATGGTGGCAGCTTCCCAGTGAATGTTGGGATTGTTGATCCTGACATGCTGAATTCTCCTGTGCATAACGTATTGTTGTCTGGTGTTCGACAGTGCTCATGGACAGTATTCTGCCTGCCTGTCGGTCCTCTCATGAGTTCGCCTGATACTTCCTAACTACCCGTCTCCCCCTTTCCGGCACGCTGAGAAGTGCAACCTTTTCTATAAATTCGTGTTCTCTTTTTCACTTGTGTATCTTCTGAAGAGGATCCCAGAAGGGAGTCGAAATACAAAGCATAATGAATCTGTGTTTCTCTCTCCATGTGAGTTATTACTGAACATTGACAAGTGTTCAATACTTAAGCTATTCATTACAATAAATGACTGAACATCAGTAGTGTTACATAAAAATTACGTGTGTATATATTTATTTCATCACCAACGCTATCGTATACGGGTCTAATAATACATGGTCATTGATGCACTACATTCCCTCCCGTGGCTGGTGAATATGTATTGATTACGACTGCTATGACAATAATAACAGATATAAAGGGTTGATTCTGTGCATGTTCATGACTGCGTACAAAGCTACTGAGTTCTTAATGCTTCACTGTATGAAGGTTACCGTCTGCAACTCGGATAATCCCCTAGTAACAGGTTCTCATTTGTTAAGTGCTTGTGTGTGTGTGTGTGTGTGTGTGTGTGTGTGTGTGTGTGTGTGTGTGTGTGTGTGTGTGTGTGTGGGGTGTGTGTGTGTGTGTGTGTATGTGTATGTCTTGTGGGAGGGCGTGTATGCGTGCGCCCGCAAGACAAATTCACTACTGCCCTGAAAAATTTATATCTACCAAGGCAAATTAACTCCAACGTTTATTATATATAAGTCGTAGAGACGAAAACATGGACAATTCTTCGATCTGTATATTTCGACCTCCAGCTGAGGTTTGTCTTCAGTTGATAGCATATTGATAAAAAGATAGCGAGAATCTTGTTTAGTAGTACATTTAGATGTGGAGTGCAGCGGTGTGAAAAAAATAATCATTAACTTATATAAAAAACAGGCATGACACTAATTTAATTAGTAATGCATTATCAGATAACTTACCAGGATTTACCTTTATCAGTTCTTTAACTCTCCTTTTTTCTATGTTAACAAATCCAGTCGTTGGTAATGTAAAGACTCGCATTTACACAATTTAACACTTGTTAGGTTAGGTAAGGTTTGTCGGGAAACAGAACAATTAACACTTGTTCATATAAGGATCAGTAAAGCATATTGTTACCGCAGTCTCTACTTACTCAAAAAATTGTTAAACTGCACTAATCAACGCACAGAACGGAAAAAATGGGTAACTTGAAATTAACAAAACTGATGGCCCCTAACTATAAAGGAGTAACTCTGAACTGAAATTGATACCTAATCCTAGTGCCTCGAGCTTATATTCACTAATCTGAGAATAACATTAGTTGACTGTTTTCCGTTGGAAAACAGTCAACTTATGTTAACTTATGTTATTTTACCTAATTATTATTATTGCACTGTTTAAAAAGTTTAAATTCGAGTGCATTAATTAAGGCTTCCCGCTGAGTGTTGTGTGAAGAAAGTAACAACCTTAAGGTCATAATAATGCTTGGACAGAAAAATTTTCGTATTTAAAGCAAGAGTCATCTGTTTATATTTGTCCATGTTGAAGAATGAGACACTTGTGCAATATTTGAGAATCTTTACTAAAGAAACGTTTTGCTAGCCAGTGACTTCTTCAGTCCAATACAGAGAAGAACAGTGGAAGATATCTACTCCAGGCTGAGGGGCTGATTGCCCTAAAACTCTTTCTCATCTTCCACCGTTCTTCTCCGTACTGGACTGAAGAAGCCACTGGCCAGCGAAGCGTTTCTTCAGTATTCTCAAATGTTGCACAAGTGTCTCATTCTTCAACTTGTCGGTTTTCTAAATCATTTACATCACATATTTGCGCATCAGCAACAGGAGTGGCTGTAGGAATGCTCAACGCATTACGCACGATGGTGCTCCCTTCGTCACGCTACGTAATGCCTTGGGTTGCCTCTGTGTTCTTGAGGAGCTGTCGTGGTCTGTCTTCCATAGCTGGAGTAGCCCAATCACTGACCACAACACAGTCCGTCACACAACCTCGGCCACAATCACACATCCCGGGACCCAAGTCATGGCCTCTTCTGGGCACCATGCCTGCCACATTTACTGACCCAGGTGAGAACTCAAGTGTACTTCGTGTTACTGTCTATTCTACAGATGTGACGCACTGTATAAAGATTTAGCTTGGTAACTATGACTATCAAGTATTACAGTTACAGTTAACATAATGTAATTTAAAAAGGAATGACCATAAGAAAAGACTAAATTTGAAACAGATGTTAGATAAAAGTGGAGGTATCCAGAGTGCTTGATTAATTTTGCTACAGAGAATATTCTGCAATGAAATATAGCTTCAAATGAGGGAGGTTTTAACAGGCAGCACTTGGGCTAATGAATGAGGATTCAAGTGTACAGCCTACACTTTACCAATCTACAATTTTGACAGCTAGAGCACCAACATACTCATGATCCCAGAACCAGTTTAGAACCCACATATCAAGAAACTGAAAAAAAAGGTGCACAGGTTTGCAACGAGACTAGTCTCAGAGCTATAAAGGGTACGATATACGACGAGAGACTGTCCTAGAACGATCACAGCGAAGCAGTCAAAACAAAATCCATTCATAGATTTATGAAATAGGCATGATAGGTGTGGAAAATACTGTATATATTTTCCAGAAATTCAGTATTTATATGTATATAGATGGCCATACTGTATTTAATAATATTTATGTCATAGAAAACGGAGAGTCTGCGTCTGTGCAGGAGACTCGCCATCTTGGTTTTGAATTTTGTACAAACGTTGGTGTAATGGGAAGAATTTTTCGTGCTCTAGAGGTTAAAATTGTGTTGACACCTCTCAAATAGGAGGCGAAATTGGTGGATGTGCATTCCTGCATAACTTGAGATATCAGACGACTGGACAAGACCTCTCTAGGAACCTCAGATAAGCTCTCTAGATTTGTGTGTAATTCTGGCCAGCATTATTTTCATAGATTTAGTTAGAGTGAGGTTTTCTGAGTATGATACACATTAATCTCCGGTCAAATTGGTGAGTGATATTAAGATATATTTTCCTTCTGTTATGTAATTGTGTATATATACATGTATAACCATTTATTATTTTTAATATACAGTCCATAAATTTATATATTTACCAGTATTCCTGGTGTATGTATATTTCATTTAATTAATAGGTCCAGAGCAACTTGTGGTTATGACAGTGGTAGGTATCGAAGGGGGACATTTTTTGCGACCTAGGTGTCCCAAATTCCTACTTGTCTATGTAACATTGATAAATAATAATTATCTTTGTTATCATTTACTGTTATGTACATAATTAGTTACATTCAGATAAATGCAATTTTCCACAATAGGGCTCATAAAGCCAGGAGGGAGTGAGCTCAGTGGTGGCCAGTTTGAGAATCAGGTCCACAAGTTGAGAGTCGACCTCTGTTACCACAAATATATTTGTACTAATACGTGAGTCACTCTAACAGGTGGAATACAGACTCACGTATATTTCCACATATTTTCAGACAGTGGGATCACCAACACTTTCATGCGAATACAGTTGAACAACAAAATTCTTTTATAATGGATTTGCAGAAGCAGTTGTATTAAAAAAAAATCATCACCTATATAAATACGAATCAGCATGTAACTGCTAATGACCCGCATTCAACAGCTTGAGAATAACACTAATATTATATAGAGAAAGACCCTCTTCATATAATCAGTTCAGTTCATCACTTGTGTCTAGTTCTGCCGAAAACATTTGCTCTGTTTTTCCACTGTTAAATGTGAGTCATTCTTGTATATATATTATCCATACGGTCAGTGTATTCTTCATGTAAGTGTACACTTACATATGTGAGATATTCCTATATTACATAAACTCTACATGTATTTCCATGTTATGTAACTACACCATCTGGTTTTTTTTTTATAGAATTTATCAATAAAATATTTTACGTACTTCTCCTGACTTAATTTTGTTTCTTGTACAGCCTATGACTCCACTAGGCTGCCCCGTCTCTGGCAATCGTACTTCAAGAAGTACGGAACAATTTTCAAGCTGAACTTCCCTGGACAGGGAGATGTTGTTTTCCTGTGTGATCCTTCAGACATTCAACATCTGTATAAACAGATGTTCGAAAATCCTCGTCGACCTTTATTTGATTCACTAAGGAAAATACGCATTAACAACGGTACCAAGATTTTCAAGGCAAAAGAATTAGGGATCCTTGTTGAGTAAGTATTTTTTTTTTTAGTTTTGCATTACCCAAATTATACAATGAATATTGACTCCTACTTGGCTGTCACTCAGCTCCTTTAACGTTTTCTTTCTATCTCGCCCCTCAGCCTTAGGTGATCTTCACACTATCAGGTTCCTATTTTCCTCGTAATATTTCTATTCTTTGCAATCTTGGGTGGACTGTGTACAATCTCAATTCGTGTCGACAGAAATGTTGCGAAATATGAAAACAAAAAATATTTTCCGAGGTCAATCCCAGGAAGTATTTTACCTGGACATTTATCTTTAGTGCATTCCGGGGTTCAACGCCCCCGCAACCTGGTCCATGACCTGGCCTCCTGGTGGATCAGTGCCGGCTGATCCGCCACTGTCTTTAGGTATCTGTCCAGGTCCCTCTTGAAGACAACCAGGGGCCTTTTGTTAATTCCCCTTACAGGGTCGAGCCTCACTTGTCTCCCAAAACTACGCATTTTAATAACATTATTTATAAATCTGAACTCATGATGGCCATAATAGTAAAATAAAACAATACGGAACAGGCAAGGGGACAGCTGGTGGCGGGTGAGGAAACAGGTTCAAGTACACGCTCTGAAATCCAGGACTGTAGCTCATTACCTGCCACAGGTGGACCAGGTGGCACAAGAGTTCGTCGCCAGGTGGGAGAAACCCTTATGTTGTACATCTTATGTGTGAGACAATAGCTCTTTGGATTGGGTGGCTGTTTCCATTTACATTTTATATTTTCTTTAAATTAAAGCTGTTTTTTTGTTGGATAGTAACATGAAGGAAACTTATATACATTTAGACACACACGTTGAGGTATATGTGGAGGCAAAAAACGTTATCTATGGAGGTAAAGAAGGGAATGTATGAAAGTATAGTAGTACCAACACTCTTATATGGGTGTGAAGCTTGGGTGGTAAATGCAGAAGCGAGGAGGCGGTTGGAGGCAGTGGAGATGTCCTGTCTAAGGGCAATGTGTGGTGTAAATATTATGCAGAAAATTCGGAGTGTGGAAATTAGGAGAAGGTGTGGAGTTAATGTATTAGAGGGCTGAAGAGGGGTTGTTGAGGTGGTTTGGTCATTTAGAGAGAATGGATCAACGTAGAATGACATGGAGAGCGTATAAATCTGTAGGGGAAGGAAGGCAGGGTAGGGGTCGTCCTCGAAAAGGTTGGAGGGAGGGAGTAAAGGAGGTTTTGTGGGCGAGGGGCTTGGACTTCCAGCAAGCGTGCGTGAGCGTGTTAGATAGGAGTTAATGGAGACGAATGGTATTTGGGACCTGACGATCTGTTGGAGTGTGAGCAGGGTAATATTTAGTGAAGGAATTCAGGGAAACCGGTTATTTTTATACAGCCGGAATTGAGTCCTGGAAATGGGAAGTACAATGCCTGCACTCTAAAGGAGGGGTTTGGGATATTAGCAGTTTGAAGGGATATGTTGTGTATCTTTATACGTATATGCTTCTAAACTGTTGTGTTCTGAGCACCTCTGCAAAAACAGTGATTATTATGTGAGTGAGGTGAAAGTGTTGAATGATGATGAAAGTATTTTCTCTCTGGGGATTTTCTTTCTTTTTTGGGTCACCCTGCCTCGGTGGGAGACGGCCGACTTGTTAAAAAAAAAATAACCTTCTGTTATTGTTTTCTAAATGAAGCTGGGCAACTAGAGAAGATGATAGCTACTCTACAGCTGAAGTATTTTAAATATGAAAACAACATTAATTTCTAAACAGGTCAGCCGGACAGCGGGACCACAAAATGAGCTTCCTGGGGATTTCGTAGAAGAATTGTTAAAGTGGGCACTGGAGTGTGAGTACCAGTAAAATTCTCAGCACTTACGATGCTGCTAGATTAAACTGATGACTGAACCCTGGCTTTTATTTTATTCGTATATTTAGGTAGCATTTTCTTATCCATAATTAGTAACTCGTGTTTTAATAAACTCAATAGTATATTTGATTTAATGAAATGCTTTATCTTCACTTTCCGAAGATATATTTGAACTGCGTTTTCACTGTGGTTATAATATACATCTCATTAGCCCTGTGCCTGGTGGCCCTCAACCAAAGAGTGGGATGCTTTGAAAACAGTGAGGAAGGGATGAGGATCATCAAGTCATCCCTGACCATGTTAGACGCTGTAGGTGAATGTGAGTTTGGTTCCCAGCTGTGGAGGTACTTCACTACCTCTGCACTGAGACGAATGTGGAGGGCTCACGATTACATTCTTAAGTAAGTTCTTTCTTTCGTTTCTTGTGTTTGACTTTATCACTAACATAGCAGCATACACTTGAGTTATACAGTATAACATTATCAATCAACAGAATAGTCTTGGAAAAGATGGAACAAGCTAAGAGGAACCTAGAGGCCCGAAGTCCAGAGGGCAGTGCTAATCTGAACATCCTGGAATCGCTCATCACCACCCCGGGCCTCTCCTTCGAGGACGTTGCCACTTTCATGATTGACCTCTTCTTTGCTGGCATAGACACTGTAAAAAATAAGTTCACATCTCTTTTTACTAGAAATGCGAAGTATAGCAGTGAAATATCTGTAATTACAAAGTCCAGAAAAGTAACTTTTATGAGAGAAGCTATTAAACATTTCAGGGCTTGTAATGCCTTAGCTGAAAGTTTTTTATTTATATGCAAAGTGCTAAATTGATGTTCACAACAGCACAAAACCGCTCTGCTTCTATTCAAGCTGAACTGTGACTTGCACGGTTAAAACAAGTATTTGAATTTAGGTTGGAACTTTGGCTGTTATTCTGTCCGTTGGCCAATTAAAATTAAAAATTAATTTGTTACTGACCATCGTGCACATCACTACATTTTCTTTTCTTTTTTTTACCAAACTAATAGATATTTCTCTCCTCAGACATCAATGAGCACGGTGTTTACCATGTATAACCTGGCTCGTCACCCTGACAAGCAGGCGAGGCTACAGGAGGAGATGGATCAGGTGTTGGGCGATGGCCACCAACCTCTCACTGTTCACCATCTGTCCAGGCTCTCCTACCTTAAAGCCTGTGTGAGGGAGAATTTCAGGTGAGAAGGTTACGTGAGATTGTGAGGGGACTGTCAGTGAGGAAGTAGGGAACCATTAGCATGCGAGAAAACTTATGACGGAGCTTATTATACAATAATAAATTTACAATCAGTAATTTAACATTGCATCGACTGTTTATTTTTTTCAGGCTGTTGCCAACATCATCAATTGTGACTAGACTCCCTAATAAGGACGTAACACTTCAAGGTTACAGAGTCAAAGCTGGAGTGAGTAATGTACACATAAGGACGTAACACTTCAAGGTTACAGAGTCAAAGCTGGAGTGAGTAATGTACACACACCTCTCTCTTTCACACACACACACACACACACACACACACACACACACACACACACACACACACACACACACACACACACACACACACACACACACACACACACACACATACACACACACACACACACACACACACACACACACACACACACACACACACACACACACACACACACACAAACCTTCTGGAGTTTTATGATAAAATAACAGAAGTAAGACAAGAGAGAGAGGGGTGGGTTGATTGCATCTTCTTGGACTGCAAGAAGGCCTTTGACACAGTTCCTCACAAGAGATTAGTGCAGAAGCTAGAGCATCAGGCGCATATAACAGGAAGGGCACTGCAATGGATCAGAGAATACCTGACAGGGAGGCAACAACGAGTCATGGTACGTAATGATGTATCACAGTGGGCACCTGTGACGAGCGGGGTCCCACAGGGGTCGGTCCTAGGACCAGTGCTATTTTTGGTATATGTGAACGACATGACGGAAGGGTTAGACTCAGAAGTGTCCCTGTTTGCAGATGATGTGAAGTTAATGAGGAGAATTAAATCTGATGAGGACCAGGCAGGACTTCAAAGAGACCTGGACAGACTGGACACCTGGTCCAGCAAATGGCTTCTCGAATTTAATCCTGCCAAATGCAAAGTCATGAAGATAGGGAAGGGCACAGAAGACCCAGACAGAGTATAGGCTAGGTGGCCAAAGACTGCAAACCTCACTCAAGGAGAAAGATCTTGGGGTGAGTATAACAACCGAGCATGTCTCCGGAAGCACACATCAATCAGATAACTGCTGCAGCATATGGGCGCTGGCAAACCTGAGAACAGCATTCCGACACCTTAGTAAGGAATCATTCAAGACACTGTACACGTGTATGTCCCGGCCCATACTGGAGTATGCAGCACCTGTTTGGAACCCGCACTTGATAAAGCACGTCAAGAAACTAGAGAAAGTACAAAGGTTTGCAACAAGGTTAGTTCCAGAGCTAAGGGGAATGTCCTATGAAGAAAGATTAAGGGAAATCGGCCTGACGACACTGGAGGACAGGAGGGTCAGGGGAGACATGATAACGACATATAAAATACGGCGTGGAATAGACAAGGTGGACAAGGACAGGATGTTCCAGGGAGGGGACACAGAAACAAGAGGCCACAATTGGAAGTTGAAGACACAAATGAGTCAGAGAGATAGTAGGAAGTATTTCTTCAGTCATAGAGTTGTAAGGCAGTGGAATAGCGCTCATGGAGCGGGGAGAGAGAGGGTCTAGTAGAAAACCGGTAAAAGAGGCGGGGCCAGGAGCTAGGACTCGCCCCCTGAAACCCACAAATAGGTGAGTCCCAAATAGGTGAGTACACACACACACACACACACACACACACACACACACACAAACACCACACACAAAACACACACCCCACACATACATACACACCACACATACATACACACACACCATACACACACACAAACACACACACACACACGCACGCACGCACGCACGCACTCACGCACACACACACACATGCACACACACAACGCACACACACACATACACACACACACACACACACACCACACACACCCCATAGTAGCGATCAGTGAAGAGGCGGGCCAGGAGCTCGGACTCGACCCCGCAACCTCAACTAGGTGAGTACACACACACACATACACACACACACACACACACACACACACACACACACATATATATATATATACACACACACACACACCACACAACACACACATACACACACACACACACACACACACACACACACACACACACACACACACACACACACACACACACACACACACACACACACACACACACACACAGGCGCTTGGAAGAGGTGAGGGTGATAGGAACTGTATTTGGACATGTTTTAAGATAATTACAGGCTTGTGCTCCACTGAAGTGTGATGTGATTTTTCATCGCAGATGTACAGTTTCAATACGACTTTTCAATTAAAATTTCTTTTTACAATGAATCTGCCTAATAGGCGTCTCACTGAGTAGTAATAACTCGTTTACTTTGGCTAAGACGTTCTGCTAAGATTTACAAACACTTGCAGAATCAACAAGTTCTTCACTTTCACCCAAAACATAAAAGCTGGTTGAAAGTGCATTAAGATATTTTGCAGTTTTTGTCGGCGTAGTGCCCAAGGATTCTAGGTTCGAATTCCACCTGGTATTTCTAAATATATCACTCTGAGTCTATAAATCTGTGAAAGTTTCCTTGTCTATCGCAGACTCACATTTACGTCAGCATTAAGGAGTCAGGCATGTTGGAGGAATACTTCCCCCGGGCGACGGAATTTCTACCGGAGCGTTGGTTGAGGGACAACCCAAACCGTCTTCAGAACCAGTTCGCCTCCATGCCCTTCTCTAACGGCACTCGCATGTGTGTGGGCAGGAGACTGGCAGAGCAGGAGATTTACGTCCTTCTCGCAAGAGTAAGTTTAAGTAATTAGTCTGTATGCTGATGTACGTACTTTGGTTAGGTTATCTCGTATGAGGTACGTATGTGTGTGTAATCGTAATGAAGTTTAAATGTAATGATTTTTATATCCAAATGCGTGATGTGGTAATGTGAATTACCTTTTTGCCAAGTCCATAGTATTTTTTACATACAACAGTTAAATAAAAATCATCCCTCAAATACAAAATGACATAGATATAAGGATAACATCCTATGTTTATAAATATATATTTTATATATATATATATATATATATTATATATATATATATATATTATATATATATATATATTATATATATATAATATATATTAATATTATATTCAGCTGCTACTGAAGTATAATTTGGAGTACAAGTACGAAGACTGGGACCCAGTTTTCACATTCATATACAAACCAGACAAGCCACAAAACTTCACCATGACTGAGCGTTGACGTCCTCCTCCGCTTCCTGTCTATTATTATTATAATCAAATAAAGCGCTAAATTGACAAGGGTCATGCAGCGCTGCTGGGCAGAACATAATGCTGGGGTATAATTAAAACAGAGTGGGCGAAGGGGGAAAGGGAAGGGATAAAAGATAAGAAAGACTTCGGAGGGGGCCACCGGAGAAGTCAGTGCTCATCAGGACTGTCTTTATTATTGGGGTCCTAATCGCCCCCAATGCCCAAGGGGTACCTAGCGTATGACAGGAAAGGTTAAGTTAATTTTAGCGGAATAAACGGCCTCGTGTGAAGGGGAGTTTTGACCAGGAACGGGCTAGGTTACGTATCAAAGTTAGTATAGTAAAGCAGTTGCTGACAAAAGTCAAAAAGTAATGGTAAGTCAAAGTCAGGACCGTCTGCAAGATAGGAAGATAAGGTAAGAGTACTTCCTATCTAAATAATATCAATTTTTCATGTTATTGATCTAGTACGGTTCCTTGAACATTGAGCTTCTCGTGTCTCCCACACAAAAATTCTTTGCAGTATTTAATTTACCTATAATGTTCATTTTTTTTTTTTTGCGCAGAAATACCTAACGGGAATGGAAAGAAATACTAGACTTTTTTCTCTCCAATTTCTATTGGAAAAAGGAAAACTTTAAGAATTGCCTAAATTTATTTTTCCTCGAACTTTTCGATTTCATTTCGCCCATAACTCATTTATTATTATTATTATAAAAAAGAAGAGCTAAACCCAGTAGAGTCACTCATAACTCGAGAAGTCGTCCAATCAGCATCAGTTTTTAAACACTTAAGTACGGTAACTAGGACCAGACTCTTAGAATTAGATTATTATAATCATGGGGAAGCACTGATTATATTATAATTATTGCAATCATGGGGGAGCGCTAAACCAGTAGGATTATACAGCGCATGTGAGGGGAATGGAAGGCACTCAGGCTTAATCCAGGGAACTGGAGCACAGATCCAATTCTCCAGATCAAGAGCCCCTCACCAGTATCAAGGAACCTCCTCGACGCCCCCTAAAGAGGCTTTTTGTATATTACGGTTTTAGTTCTCCCAATTAATGTATGTGTACTGAAAGTGTATAATATTGTCAGCTTACTGTATTCCGTCTCTACCCTGTAACTTACCAATTATTATAATCATATTTAAGCGTTAAACCCACAAGGGTCATACAGCGCTGTACTTACCAGTATCTTGCTGCACTAGGTATGAATAAATTATTAACGAGTGGAGTTTTCATTTCCCCATCTTGAATGTTTCTCTTAAGACTAAATATTATTTAGTAAGGTTAAAGTTATATGGAAGAGAGTGAAGATGAGTGTATTATTATTACAATCTAAACTTAAGCGCTAAATCCGCAAGGGCCATACAGCGCAATAGTAAAAGCAAAATGGTGACTGCACTAGGCCAACTATTAACTCGCATTTACTATATCGAGAACTAGGTTGAACTGTCGCTCGTGATATTGTTATAATCTTGGGGAAGCGCTAAACCCGTGGGACTGTACAACGCCTGTGGAAGGGGGGGATGGAAGGTATTCAGGCTTAATTCAGGGAACTGGAGCACAGATTCAATTCCCCTTGAGGGGAAATTATCCATCGGCACTTAGTTCAGTAGGTCTACTAAAATCCAGTTTTTCTCGCCAGTGTAGACATCCCCATCACTTAATAATGATCTTAATTTCTACATGTACAAGGTATACAGACCTTACTGACGTCAATGATAATCAAAACCAAACGCATACTATATAGAAAGCCCCTGTGTTCTGCAGAGCGATCCACACCAGTCGACTAATACCCAGGTACTTATTTTACCGCTGAACATGGAGAGCAGGAGATCGGGGATCGAACCACAGACCTCAATGTGTGAGCCAAGTGCGCTAACACTCGAGCTACGGGACACCCATCTTGGTTGATATGGTTCATCAACTACAACACCAGGGTCATTTTTTTTAAATCAGTGATGAGCTAAACCCATTGGGGTCACAGCACTCAGAGGCAGTCATTACATTCACGGGGTTATAAAGCGCCTAGGAGGATGGAAGGCATTCAGATGTAAGTAAAGTGGGACACAGATCCAATTCCCAAGATCAAGAGCCCCTTACTAGCACCAAGGAGCCATCCTAGAGAGGATTAAGACTGCACTGTAACAAGTGTCACCACCAGACAAGAAAACTTGAATCCTTAGTATTATTACAATCAAAATTCACCACCAGACAAGAAAACTTGAATCCTTAGTATTATTACAATCAAAATTAAGCCTAACTCTACAAAATTGTGGCTCGAATCCCTGTGTGATAAGACCCAGATAACGGAGGGAGGGGGGGGGGGTCAGAGCAAGAATGCAAGGTCTGATGATTCAGCGACCCATCAGGTAGTTCTAACACTGCATCATACGAGGCAAGGCTGGAAGCAGTCTCACTACAATTTTCTTCTCTTTACCTCTGGATATTAACTCGTCGATCGACAAAGGGTAGGTAGAGGTCATCCAAATTACCTGTGGATATGGTTGTGTGAAAAGGGCGGATCTACTATGAACCTAACGAAGCTTAATGACTCACGAAATTGTAATGACACGATTGCAAACAAACCATACCACGGCCGTGGCATGGTTTAACGAAACTTAAGCTTCAGGACCCCATAATATTACCCGGAGGGGTCCCAGAAGAGATTTTAGTCCACATTGCATAAAATTTTGGGTCTACTGTAAGAGAATGCTTTTTTTTTAAATATGTAATAATATAATGTAATTCAATACAAAATAATAGTTAAAATAAAAATTAAAAAATTATTAAAGTACAATGTAACCTAGCCGTTGCTGGTTAAGAAGGGGCCCTCATAACAGTTCAAGCTTCAGGGCCCCAAAAATGTAGGTCCGCCACTGTCTATGTGTGCAGTAGATCATTTTTGTGCTGAATAAATATGCAGTTGCAGAGAGGGAGACTTTATTGAAAAGTTTCGTCTGTGGAACAGGAGAAAGTATCAATAAAATTCCTCTCCACAACTGTGTCGTTTTCTCCGATTATTTGCTTTCAATCATTAAGTGCTGATGACATTTTAATTCAAGCAAAACATTAAGTTTAGCGGAGTCGTATACAGTTTAAACTTACTAAGAATTTATTCTTTATTGTTATGATTATATTTAATGGATGTCATATTGGCAGACGGCATCATAGAATGATATTTCTGTGTAATAATGTATTATGTTGTGGTTCGAGCCTCAACTTTCAACATGAGGTGATTATGTAAATGCCTCAATATTTGTAGTGTTGAGTATTCTGAAGAAAATCTTACCAGCTGTTGTACATATAAACACTGCTGTCTGTTTAAATTTGTCTCCCAACATTAGGAGCAACTGTCAAGATGGTCAACGCGTTACGCACCATTGTGATAGGGAAATTTTCAGTCCTACCATGGACTGCTACTGTGCTCTCAAGAGTAGGCTGCCGTGGTCTGTCTTCCGTGGCTGGAGTAGCCCCGTCCCTGGCAACAACTCGCTCCCACACACAACCTCGGCCACAGTCAGACATCCCTGGACCCAGGTCATGGCCAATTCTAGGCACCTTGCCTGCAATGTTTACTGACCCAGGTAAGACCCAACGTAACCCTTCCAGTTATGATAGAAAGTGTTAATTCCAAAAATTATCCGTGATAAATTATTTTTTACTAATTTCTTCTGCACAGCAAAATGTGCTCTAATTTATTTTGTTTCTTGTACAGCCTATGACTCCACTAGGCTGCCCCGTCTCTGGCTCTCCTACTTCAAGAAGTACGGGTCAATATTCAAGCTGAACCTCCCTGGGCAGGGAGATGTTGTATTCCTATCTGATCCTAACGACATTCAACATCTATATAAAGAGATGTTTGAAAAGCCTAACAGACCAATTATGGATTCCCTTAAGAAAGTTAGGTTAAACAACGACGCCAAATTCTTTAGAGCTAAAGGAACTGGAATCCTTACTGAGTAAGTAATTTTAATCTGTACTTATATTCTATGTTAATTGTGTATTTAAATCATAAACGTTAGCAAAGGACATCAAAAAAATATCTTGTTCTGCTTTTCGTGTCTTCATACTTGTTAATAATTCATCGTTTCATACGACTCTAGTTAATTGAATTCGATCTTACGAAGGTGTTGGCATATTATATG